CATGTTGTTTTACCCCCCGACACCAGGTTGTTTATCACCCCCAACGCCATGTTGTTTTTCTCTGACGCCATGTTGTTTTCCCCTGACACCATATTGTTTATCACCCCCAACACCATGTTGTTTTTCTCCAACACCATGTTGTTTTTCTCCGATGCCATGTTGTTTATCCCTCCCAACACCAGTTTGTTTATCCCCCCCGACACCATGTTGTTTCTCCCAGCACCTCGTTGTTTTCCCTGCCAACATGTTTTATTCCTGATGCAATATTGCTTTTCCCTGACACCCTGTTGTTGTTCCCTGACGCCATGTTGTTGTTCCATGACACCATGTTTTTTTTTTACTACCGTCATTTTGTTTATCCCCGGCATCATGATTTTTTTCCTGAAGTTATGTTATTTTTCCTCAGCACCATGTTGCTTTCATGATACCATGTTTCTTTCTTTCTGACACCATGATGTTTATTTCCAATGCCATGTTGCTTTCCCTGATGCCATGTTGCTTTCCCTGACGCCATGTTGTTTTTCCCTGACGTCATGTCGTTTTTCCCTGATGCCATGTCATTTTCTTGACGCCATGTTGTTTTTCCTTGACGCCATGTTGTTCTTCCCTGACACCATGTTGATTTTCTCTGACACCATGTTGATTTTCCCTGATGCCATGTTGTTTTTCCCTGATGCCATGTCATTTTTTTTTCTTTATTCATTCATGGGATGATAGCGTCCCTGGCCAGGCAGCATTTATTGCCCATCTCCAATTGCCCAGAGGACAGTTAAGAATCAACCACATTGCTGTGGGTCTGGAGTCACATGTAGGCCCAGACCAGATAAGGATGGCAGTTTCCTTCCCTAAAGGCCAATAGTGAACCAGATGGGTTTTTCCAACAATCGACACTGGATTCATGGTCATCATTAGACTCTTATTTCCCGATATTTATTGAATTCAAATTCCACTGTCTGCTGCGGTGGGATTCAAACCTGGGTCCCCAGAACATTATCTGAGTGTCTGGATTAACAGTCCAGCGATAATACCACTAGGCCGTCGCCTCCCTGACACCATGTTTTTCCCTGACGCCATGTTGTTTTCTTTACGTCATGTTGCTTTCCCTGACGCCATGTTTTTCATTACTCATTCACAAGATGAGGGTACCGCTGGTCAGTTCTGCATTTATTGCCCATCCCCAATTGCCCAGAGGGCAGTTATGAGTCAGCCACATATTGCTATGGGGTGTGGAGCTCGGTGTAGGACAGACAGGGTAAGGATGGCAGATTCCTTCCCTCAGGTGGGACTTTCTGACAAGTGGCTACAGACTCATGGTCATCATTTGACTCTTAATTCCAGATTTTTGTCGAATTCAATTTCTGCTGCGGCGGGATTTGAACAAACGCATTTGCCTGGGTCTCTGGATTAACAGTCCGGTGACAACACCACTAGGCCGTTACCTCCCTTTGTGTTGCGCCTATTTCTTCCCCCTTGCTCCTCCACCATCCTCCAGCCCCTTTGCCAAGGGCAACAGCGATTTCCCACCATCCACATTCCCCTCAGGATCTGACATGCCTCACTAAGCGATGCTGCCCATTCCTCTCGCTGTGGGATCCTGCTGTGCGCATCACTGTGGCTTCTGTCTCCCGTTACAGATGGATCGTGGCCATCGTGCTGTGCTGCATCATCCTCCTCATCATCGCCTGCAATGCCCTGGGACTAGGATTAGGGACCGCGGGCATCGCGACCAGGGGTGACCCCTACAGCGCCAATGCATGCTCAGTGTCTGGAGCCAACTTCCTCATGGCGTAAGATGGAGTGTGCGTCTGTGTCTATATGTGTGTCTGTGAGTGTGTATGTGTGTGTTTGTCTGTGTGTGTGTCTGTGATTGTGTGCGTCTGTGAGTGTGAGTGTGTGTCTGTTTGTGTGTGTACGTGTCTGTGTGAGTGTGTCTCTGTGTGTGTGTGTGTTTGTGTACGTGTGTGTGTGTGTGTGTGTGTCTGTGAGCATGTGTATGCGTGTGTGAGAGAGAGAGATGGTGTGTGTATGAGATGGTGTGTATGTTCATTTGTGTGTGTGTATGTGTCTGTGAGAGTGTGTGTGTAAACACAGTGATGTATCTATTGCTGAATTTGAAGACAACCTGTCGAATCATTCAGCCTCGGGTTGTGCCTGCTGCTGTTTCTGTACAGTATGACTAGTCTGACTGCACCTTGTGCAAGTGTGAGGATTTTTCCTGTGACTGTAACAGGTTGAGGTCGGTCAGGGAATACCTGTAGATATTGAGCATTTCAATAAGACAGAGGAATGTATTTGTCGGTTGACAGAGTCAGTGAGGAGTGGATCAACTCAAGACTGCCTGTCCTCAGTCTGATTGAGGCCTGCAATACGCCTGGATGTGCCCAGACAGTCATCTGCTCGTGTCATGAAATGCTGTTGCTTATTCAGGAGTTCACCTGCCTGTGTGGAGTGTGTCTGTAGGTGTGCTGCTCTCTGCTTTTCTGTGTGGGTTGTAATTATTTTGTGCTGTAGAATGACTGTCTCTGTGGTAGACAGTGTCTTTTAGTGTGGATTGAGCCTGTACCGGTGTGGTCTATGTGCAGTGGACTGTATCTGGGTGTAGACTGCGCCTGTCTCTGTGGACTGTATCTGGGTGTAGACTGTGCCTGTCCGTGTGGAGCAGTGTATCTGGGTGTAGACTGTGCCTGTCTGTGTGGACTGTATCTGGGTGTAGACTGTGCCTGTCTGTGTGGAGGAGTGTATCTGGGTGTAGACTGTGCCTGTCTGTGTGCAGGACTGTATCTGGGTGTAGACTGTGCCTGTCCGTGTGGAGGAGTGTATCTGCGTGTAGACTGTGCCTGGCTGTGTGGACTGTATCTGGGTGTAGACTGTGCCTGTCTGTGTGGAGGAATGTATCTGGGTGTAGACTGTGCCTGTCTGTGTGCAGGACTGTATCTGGGTGTAAACTGCGCCTGTCTGTGTGGAGGAGTGTATCTGGGTGTAGAGTGTGCCTGTCTTTGTGGAGGAGTGAATCTAGGTGTAGACTGTGCCTGTCTGTGTGGAGGAGTGTATCTGGGTGTAGACTGTGCCTGTCTGTGTGGAGGAGTGTATCTGGGTGTAGACTGTGCCTGTCCGTGTGGAGGAGTGTATCTGGGTGTAGACTGTGCCTGTCTGTGTGGACTGTATCTGGGTGTAGACTGTGCCTGTCTGTCTGTGTGGAGGAGTGTATCTGGGTGTAGACTGTGCCTGTCTGTCTGTGTGGAGGAGTGTATCTGGGTGTAGACAGTGCCTGTGAGAGAGTATAGTTACACTGTGCTTACTCTAAGCTGTGTTCTCTTACCCCAGGGGTGTGGGCGTCAGTTTTATCTTCTCCTGGTTGCTGATTCTCCTCGTGTTTGTCACGTTTTTCGTGGGAGGAAATGTTCGGACGTTGGCCTGTAAACCGTGGGAAACCGGAGAGATCTACCAGGTACGCGCGCAGGTGTGTGTGCATTTGTGTTTGTGTGCATGTGTGAGAATGTGTGTGAGAGTGTGCGCGTGTGTGTGTGCACGTGTGCGCATGTGAGAGACTGTGTGCGTATGTGAGAGTGTGTATGTGCAAGTGTGCGAGTGCGTGTGAGATTGCGTGTGAGTGCGTATGAGAGAGTGCGTGCGTGAGTGCTTGCGTGAGAGTGTGTGTGCGCGAGAGTGCGTGTATATGAGTGTGTGTGTGTGAGACTGTGTGTGTGTGTGAGAGTGCGTGCATGTGTGAGAGAGTGCGCATGTGTGAGAATGCGTGCATGTGAGAGAGTGCATCCGTGTGAGAGACTGCATGCGTATGTGTGTGCGACAGTGTCTGTGCAAGTGTGTGTGTGAGTGCATGTGTGAAAGTGCGTGTGAGAGTATGTGTGCGTGAGAGTGTGTGCAAGTGTGTGAATGCATGTGTGTGAGTGTGTGTCTGTGAGTGCATGTGTGAAAGTGCGCGTGAGTGTGCAAGAGTATGTGTGTGTGTGAGAGCGCGTGTGTGTGAGAGAGAGCGTGTGTGTGAGTGAGTGTGTGTGAGAGAGAGTGTGCATGTGAGAGTGTGCATGAGAGAGTGTGTGTGTGTCTGCGTGTGAGTCACTTGTGCCATTGACATCCTGCTCATTCTCTCTGGGGGGACAGGGCTCCTGCTGATGTCTCCCTGACATTCTCAATTCCATCAGTCTCCACCCCCCACCAATCCCCGCAACCTCCATCCCCCCCTTTCTAGTACAACCCTCCCCTGGTGCAACGCTGCATTCACCTCAACCAGATGTGTGGAGTGGAGGGTCTCGGATCTGTCTGCCTCTCGCAGAGAGCCATCGTTGTAATGTCTGGCCCAGACAGAGGTGCTTCAGCCTGTTGTACCTTACAGTCTCCCTGCCTGCACCCCAAGCTGTTGCCCCAACGTTCAAGCCATTGTGCTCCCTCCAAACACACCAGGGAACAAGAATAGATCCTCCCCGTCTGTCTGGTCCCTCTTATGTCCCTAGTGGTAGGTTAGCATTGGACTTGGCTGTGTTCCCTCAATTACCCCCCAGGGCTTTGTGGTGTTTCAGAAGGCTAGGCTGCTTGGGGTTTTGGGGGGGCGGGTGGGTGGGAGGGAGGGAATGGGGAGGTGAAAGCTGTGGGGAAACGGGCCAGATATAGGTCACTGAGCTCATGGAGCCCACTTCTCTGTCTCTCCCACAGGCTCTAGACATTCTGGCAACCAGCAACAACTTCTTAAATTTCTCCAATCTCATCGACCCGCAACTGGACATCTCTGGAATCCACAGGTCTGTCGGAGGTGGTGTTGGGGGTGGGGGGGTTTGCCACTCAGTGGGTGGAGGGGCATGAAATTCCAAGGCTCTGACATTCCCCGCCGCACGATCAAGGGTTCTGCCTCACATCGCCACAGAGCCTCCCGGCAATGCCAAGGGACAGAAACGTGGTAGATTTAGGTCTCAGGGTGTGAGTGTGAACTGTAGGGGGTAACACACGAACAATGCGGGCAGGTGCCCAGTACCTCGCGTGCTGGGAGTGGGTGCGAAGCCAGGTGCTCACCCCTGCCCAGCTAATTGGCATCTTGGATCACAGAGGCCTATTGGTGCTGAACGAGGCCGGTTTGGCCTGTGCTAGTTCTGTGCCCTAGTGCACCACATTTGTGACCGCCCACCATCCTCCCCTCAACCAACATCCCTGCACATTATTTCTCTTCTAATACCCCATCCGATGCCCATCTTGAATGCCTCAACTGAACCTTCCC